TATTATTATTATTATTATATATATATATATATATATATATCATATGTATTTTTTTTATTTTTTTTTTAAATATATAGCTATAATACTAAAATCTTCTTTTCCAGAATGGAAATGGCGAAGTGTGACACAGCAGGTTTTAAGCACACAAATACACCTGTATAATTCGGAATTATTCATCATGTTATGACAGCCTCTGTGTCTCTGCTATTCATAATGGTTTCTACAAGCCTAACAGGAGTCCTGATCAGCTACTCCATCATCCACACCTGAAACAGACTCCATTAATACATTGTATTCGCTCTCTCTGCCCCTCATTGGTATGGCTCGCAGGGGGGTGCCATTTTGTTGTATATGTTCTTTGGTTTTAGCTGGTTTGTACCTTTGAGAAACTCTGCCACATACACCACTGTATTCAGGAATTTCCAATCCATTTCAGATACAGTGCATTTTTTGTATAAGACGTATAATTAGATATATACATATACTGGAATTACACAATATTATCCATGTAATTTCAAGGAGTTGCTTGGAGTGCCAAATACACTGGGAAAAAACATTTAAAAAAAACAACAACTCTGCGGCTCAAGACACACTAGCTTTTGTTTAGGAGTTAGTGGAGACCAAACAGACCAAACCACATCTAAAGGGAACAGAAACCCTACTCCATTGGTATGCCCTTGTTCGAAAATTACTATGATTTGTACCCCTTAGTGGTCAAAAAAATCTGTATATACTTAGTGAGCAGACTTATCAACTCTGCCCCAGTAGCAGAATATACTACAGGTGAGTGCAACAGCAACTAAACTTTCATGCTTGTTTTGTATGTGAACGGATTACCGGGAATGGGCTTAAAGTGTGATCTAACAGACTTTGAAAAGGCTTGACTGTGAGTGCCGGAAGGGCAGGTTTCAGCATCACCAGGCCTAAAGAGTAAAAGTGTGTGTACAAACAACAAAAAAGGTTGTAAGCATGTACTGTCATCCACATGTACTTCTCTGCAACTCATCGGATTTTCACACTAAGTCGTTTATTCAATGTTTTGGGTCAGGTTATGTTTTTTACCTTCTTCTTGGCCTGTAATAACTCCTGGTAGGCACTGGAACGGATGAAACGGCTGTATGAATCACTCTTCATCAACTTGTAGATGTGTTCCTGTTGTAGAAACACATAGTGTAAAAATAATGTATAAAAGCATCAGGTAACACATATAAAATGCAATATTCCATTGACCACCAAAACACAGCTGTGATTCATGGATTGCCAGGAGTGAGGTTGTTGTTGTATCATTATCACTGTGTAGTTTCAGATCACAAGCTGAACTTTTCAATGCTAATGTACAATGTAAAACTGTACATAAACCACTGCAGAAATTAGCTATGGTTGTGATTTAATGTATTTCTATAATTTGCACCTGTGCGTCCTCAAAGGCATAGCGTCCAGGATCTTTGACATTCTGGGTGGTTTTGTCGTAGCTCTTGGAGTCTACGTTGATGGCACTGGGTGCCCCCGGGGCCAGAAACTCCTGCCAGATCTCCTGAACCCGAGTTGGAACTTCTCTGATGGGACGCTTCTTTAGTTCCTGAACCGCTAACCAGAACCTATAAACCAAATTTAACAGTAAGATAGCTGCCTGTTAATAATATAGCTAAAAATGCAAACAGCAGTTTCTATACATTTTTATATCTTCATTTTTTATCATCTTTATTGTTCACAGCCAAACAACAAGGCTCAAAACATGCTCTCTTCTTATCAACTCTTTGCATGCATTTGCAGCACTGCCAAATGAAATACATTTTTTAGAAATTATATTTTATTTTTTACATCAAAAGTAGTTTGTCATCATAGAAGACAAAAACTACATAGGAAGAAATGTGAGCAGTAACTAAAACAGAAAGAAGAATGTTTGCCTTACTTAGGAACACCTCAGCAGAGACACATTTTAAATAGTGGACAGCAACAGCATTATGCTACATGTTTAACTTTAAAAATAGTTAATAGGGTTAATGTACCTAGAAGACTAGAAGCGTGCTTTTTGTCAGTGATACATTAGTTCAATTAAAGGAGAGTTACAACAATGCTCAACTGCATGTAAACAAACTGACCCCATTATCATCTTTGGACAGAAACAATACAGACATGTACCATCAGAGGTAGCAGAGGAGCTATCCTGCACAGCGGTTACTTCATTCATATTTAGCACCTGCGATACTCTGCAGTATTCCTGTTACCATGAATAAACATAACGTAATATTCCTGGCCTTCTGTGTCATTCTAGCAACAGCTATAGATATAGTGCATATTTTAGAAAAGCTGCATCCACCACTCATCCTGCTTTGATTAAACAATATTACTGTAGGTTACTTCTTATACATGGAAAGAAACAATGACCCCACAATTATTTGAGCACTTGTACAATTAAAACCAAAGTTTCAAGTGAAATATTATTAATATATTATTGATTAGGCCTCTCATCTTTACAGAAAAGCTGGTCCCATGAAAGATAACCATTTATTTTAGGCTTAAGACTTAGCAGTTACAGTTAAAGGTAAAGTAAAGTATTTTTATTTTATGCTACCAAAAATGTACTTTTCACCACATTTATTTGAAAGCTGTTGCTGGATGCTTTGCAGATAATGATATCACATATCAAACAAAGGATCATCTTATAAGATAAGATGGACTGTTATAGATTAAACTACCTATTATATATTCATAAAGTAGTTCAAATAAGCTCTGTTTCAACCAACTACAACATTACATCTAAATGGACTAATGATAATAATCAAAGGGTACTAAATGTATTATTCTAACACTCTGAGAGGGCCCGGTCTGTATTGTGTGTCCTTTTTCTTTCTTTTTTTTAAAATGCAATTTGCTGATATTACTTCAGTACTTTTATTTCCATATATTTTGAATGCATTCTACATTTTTTTAGTACTTTAAAGAAATGGATCTAGTACTTCTACTACCACTGTTGACTTTAGATACACTGATTGATGTACTATGACAGCTTTATTTAAGTTATAGTTTCACGATCATGTACAAGGCAGTAAAAAACGAAACAATGCATGTTAATATTATATATGTGGTAAAACAAATCTAGATTGTGGCTTTAAGGTTAGGTCAAGAAGTTTTACTAACTAACAAAAACAAGTATTTTGTGAGTGTAGAAAGTGCATTTTATCGTGTACCTGAGATTCTCTGAACTGAACTCAGACTCCAGGAACTTCAGGAACTGTTCTCTCCCAATCGGATCTTTGAGAACCTCATCAATGCCAAAAGCCCACCGCTTTACCCTCTGCTGGCCGGGCTCCTTACTGCAGGAGGACATGCAACAATGCATTACAGTATTTTTCACAGATGATGTATGTGTGCAACAAAACACTATATAAATATAAATATTGCTCTTCTCATTTGCACACCTGGCTTCGAGCTCCCAGAGCGTGGTGTCATCTGAGATCCAGGGGTTGGATGGATCTGGAGGCGTTAGGAAGGGGTCATATTCAACGTACTGCTCTGTGTAGCCCAGCAAACTGTTTGTTTTAAGGGAAACAACAGACAGCATATGAATGGAATCAGTCTGTATAATGGGTCAAAATGTGACACATTATAATCTACTTATCACACCTGATGAAATTATGTTCAAGCCTTTCTGGGACTGATTATGAATGAGTTGTTTATTTTTAAGCTCTAACTGACAAAAGTGAATTGAATTAAAGGCAGCCTAGCAAGAGGGATTTGCCCTATATTTGGACACAAGGATAGAGAACTCTTTAATGAATGCACCTCTCTTTTCAGTGGAGGAAATGACAAATGGACCTTTTGTGTGTGTGTTTTGTGTGTGTGTGCTGATATCGTCAGCGCTGACGCTCACTGAAGGCATTGTCCGGGCCCAATCACTCCTCAAGGTCATCTGAGCTCTTAATTCCACACCATGTTAGGCAGTTTAAAGGCTCAATAAACAGATCGATGGCTAAACTGAATAAAGACACAAAGAACATTGCTCACCTCTCCGCCACTTTGGACATTTTCAGTCGATGTCTGTCTAATTGCAATTGCCAAAAGGTGATCTGAAACCACAGCAGGGAACAATTAGCATTCCGTCTCCATGAATTCACAAGAAGGTGTTGGTTTGCAAGTACAGTTACATAACAAACGCATGATATTTTGTATTATTTGACTTTATGTGTGCAGTTTAAACTCTACTGCTTAAGTACATATAATTTTATCAAAAAGTTACAGATGAAAAATGAAAACTACAACTACAATTTCAGCGCTACCATTAACTTTAAATGGTTAAAAATTCTATCTTTAATAGTAGAGCGCCACCTGCAGGTCTTACCTGTTCTTGCAGTTCTTCTTCTGTAGGCTGCTTGGCTTCTGGAGCAGGGGTGTGAGTTGGGCTGTGGGTACGAATATCGTTCTGCAGCCCATACACAGACTGAGATAACAAAAAACATGAAAATAAAAAGAACTATCAATAGAAGTAGCCTTACAACTGCTGACAAGCACAGCAAGAAACAGTAAGCCTGTCTGTTCATGTCTGTGTTACAATGTTACGAGCCCTGACCTTAAAAGAAAGGTGTGTCAGTGGGATGGTGTACAGTACCTTTCTGGTTTTGTGGGGGTTTTTCATTCTGGAGGACTTCTTTATGTCGACTTCTGTTGTATTCACACATCCAGGCTGTGAGAAGAGTCAAAAATCAGAAAATCAAGCTCAAATTAAATTTTTACAACTTAAACTGTTTATGCTGTGCCCTCTAGGATGAAGGTGCAATTTCGCCACCATTATATGAATTTCAGTTAATCAAATCCAATATGCGTAGCTGGAGTGTGAAGTGATTTCGAGAAGTCTTCAGGACAATGTGTCAGATGCTGGTTAATTAAACATGGAATGTGCCAATTCTAGCAAAACAAGTAAACCAGCGGGAAATCAGAGTCTTAGTGTGCAAATTCTGTCTGATTGAACAAGTGGTCTAATCTAGGTCTCTTCCAGAAGAACAGAGCTAAGTAGCTTGACGGCATCACTGTGAAATTTAAATTAATATTGATTATGTTGCTCCAAGGACGCATAAATTGAACTTATTTTCCAATTAAGCATGGAGCAGTGGCTTTCAGAGAAATACAGCAGAGGAGACCCTTTAACCTCAGGGGGGAACTAAATGCTAATGCTAAGCAAGTGTGTATGAACAAGGTAAAGAGCAGCGGTGATGCTGATGTGTTGTGACAGTTATTGATGTGGCATTTCATGTGTGTGGCAGAGGAGTACACGATGGGGGATTTACATTGTGTTCACCTCATTACACCACTCATATGTCAGAGGAATCAGGAAATATATAGTTCATACATAAATGACATAATCTATGAAGTGCTTGTAACTGCAACATTTTCAAAACATTATTTCTTTGTCACACAGTTTGATGCACCCCCCTTGCCTGTGAAATGTGTGGAATAGATAATAACCCAAGGAGCATAAATGATTTACCACATCTATAGTATGTAATTATTCTTTGGATTCTGTGTGTGTGGTCAGCGTGAAATTATTTTTTCAAGTTCTGCAGGGACAATTAAGATGATGTTGATAATGTTCAGCAATGATATCGGTAACGGCAAAGGTGACGATGAAGATAACATCAGTAATTTCACTCACCACTGGTCTGTGCACGTCCCAGAATGCTCTTTCTTGACTGTCAAGAATTTTCCTCTCAATTTTGTCTCTTTTCTTGTCCACTCTGAGAGAAAAAAACTGTTCAGTTCAGAACTGTTTTCACGGAGCACATAGCTCATTCCAACACTAGCTTATTTCAACACACATATGATCCATCTACTCCATTAAATGTTTAATGTGCAGTTCATCTGTGAAGTTGTGTGCTGGTAATTACAGGGAAGTTGAAGTAAACCGCTAAGTTTAATGATGTCATAATGAGGGTGTAAGAGGACTCACTCATAGGCTCAATGCGTGTGTGGTTCTTATAGAAACCTACTTCGCTTGTGCTTCTGCTTGCATAAAAATGAACTCCCATTTCCTGGCGAAAGCTCTCTGTAGCCTTGCTAAGCTCTCCTGCAAGTAAAACAAAGAAGAAAAAAGGGATTAAAAAAAGGCTTTTTTAACAGATCTGGGCTGATTATGTTTACTGAACATGATGTGTACATTGCATGGCTGGATACCATCTTTAATGATCCCTTCTCACATAAAAAAAAAAAAAAAACCCAGAGTAACCCAGAGTAACTAACCTTCATAATTAATTTAATAGCTTTGGTGAAAGGAAAGTTACATATGATGCAGTGACACACAGTGAAAAACAAATGTTCTCTGTTTTAGTATGAACAAAGAGATAAAGCCTGAGAGCAGCACCAACACAGGAGAACAGATATGTGAAGAGGGGAGTGCTGACACTAAAAGACCTCTTTCGCTTACCGCTTCATAGTCTGCAAGCTCCAGACGTGCTTTATTTTGCATTGTTCTTTTGCAGAGGTAAACAGCTGAGAGAGAAAGAGAGAGAGACAGAGAGATTGGTAATAAAGGGAGAACGGGATCTCAGCTTGGTTTTAACAGCCTTAAGTGGCCCTGCATTTACTCATTTAATCCTCTCAACTGCACATTTAAACTGGCCTGCAAATCACAAAGGTCATTGACTGTGCATGGTGTCTGAGTGTCTGTCTACAGTGTGTGTGTGTGTGTGTGCATGCTCCTGACTTTTGATGTCTTCCTGTACTATCATCATCCCTTCATCCCTTTGTTAACTGACCATTATGTGGAGGCTTCATTATGCCATTAAACTGTTTTCATTACGGGGCATCATTCACGTGAATCAGTTGCTACATCTGAGACACTCTAACTTCCCCTAATACTCACAGGATTATTCCCACAGCGAGCATTAGCCCTTTTCCTCTCCTGCAATTCAAACAACAAATGAAAGACCTGCAAGGCTGCAGCTATTCACCCAAAGCATTTTTGGCATTATGAAATGCTTATCTCTACTCCACTCTGCTGTAAACAATGAAAAGCTCATCCCTGTATCACCATTAAAACAGTCAGTCAAATGTGCACAACAGGTGCATGCATTTCATCACATCCCTAGTTTTCTTCACTGTAATCGGTCTGCAACAGTCAGAGAGTATGACTGAGGCAGACGCAATTGACTGACCTTATTTCTATTTTATGTTTCTATCTGAAATACATTGAAAATAGAAACATATAAAAAAAAAATAAGGTAAAAGGCAAACAGAGCTATTGCATCCCCACTGCATTATAACTGACTCTAACTTCTAACTTCAAGCACCTAAAACAAAATGGGAGTTTATGTCTCTATCGACCATCCACATACTGCAGTTGCATCATTTGTGTTTCATCTTTTGAACTTTTTGTAACATCAGCAGTAATAACATATCGACTGGACAAATATATTTTATGCACTACACAAACAGTCTGCATCATTAGCCTCTTCAGTATACTGCACAATGCATAAAGTCAGAGTTAGACAACAGGTCTCTCACCATAGTCTGTGTTTTCTGGTTCCCAGCAGTTTGATGGCCAAAAGTATGGAGTCTGAAGGGAAAAACAGGTCATTAAGAAACAAAACTAAAAGAAACCTTACATCGTTGACAGCATACAGCTAACCACATAGTGTTTGGAATCTAAGTGTGTAGTGTCATGCGAGGTGGGCACGCAGTCACAGCACTGCATCTGTCACAATAAAACATTTTGTTGTATAATGGGCTCGGCATAATGTTTAAAGCACATAAGCTCCTTTCAGCAAGTGCTGAGAGCAGACACCAGCATGAATCTTGACCCTCCTCGGGCAGCACTGTATAGACTGGCTCCAGATGAAAACCGATTACACCTAAAAAGCAAAGTGAACCCTGCTACTAACACAAACAGCCCGGGGCGCTGATTTACTTTGGTTAGTTCTGTGCAGCACACTTGGGGGAGCTCACTGAAAAATCACTAAAACTGTCAGTCCCAGTATTGACATTCAAAGCGATGTTTTTTTTTATTTTTTATTTTTTTCTGTGAACCTGAAATAATTATGAAGCACAGCAACTCCCAATCACTGGTTTGATATCATCAAACCATCATATCACACAGATGCAATTCAAGTGTTTTTTTCTGGCCTGTACCCTTATTTTATTCAAAAACAGGATAGAAGGAGATTCAAATGTTTTATATAGAAATGACCATGAAGTATTTTTCAAAACCTACTAGATGTTTTTTTGCACCTTTATTTTCTCTATAATTAATAGCATAACACATGGTGATAACATAACATGATGATAGCAAAATCCCATGTGAATAGCCTGAATATGGCATGGTTATTTGACCATGTTTGATACAATATTGGAAAAAGTCTTTGACTCCAGCATTACAATTAAAGTATTTTAGATTTTTTTTAGTAATAAGTATTACCTTAGATATCTAGTGACTAATTGACATATCATAAGATAAATTAGAATCCGAGCATTACTAATATTATTCTTACCTGAAACCTATAGAATGTGCCATCATCTTTGAGAGTGAGGACGTGGTCTGAGATGGGGAAGAAGTAACCATGTGCAGCCATCAGAGTTCCTAGGTGAAGAGCCTCCACTGGAAGAAAACACAGACAAAAAGTCAATTTACAACTTGGTGTAGTTCTGTTCTTTCTGTCAGTTTTCCAGTTATATTGTACACCAGTACATACAAGTTTACTTTCATGCATTTAAAACATTTACACATGTATCAAGCATGTTTCTTTTGGCTGTGGACAGGAAGGTATTGTTTCCAAACAGAGAGCAGCTCAGAAGGTTTCACAAGTTTAATTCAACAACACAGCCAACTCTGACATTATATGGATATTCTCTGCAACAATTTCTTTCAGAAATGTGTGTTAAAAATAATTCTGAGAGTGACATGTAGTGAGAACCTAAAATGTATATAGATCTTTTATCTGTATTTTGAAATTTAGAAATTAGGTTATTATATTGGTGTATGCATATACTGTTATATTTGGTCACTAGAAAATGTTAAATTACTAATTTTATATTCTCTAAAAAACTATATATTTAAAATAAAAAATAGGCCTTAAGGAGATATCCTTTATGTCACTTTTCAAGTAATAATTGGGTATTTATTTTCAGGTTTAAAGGAACCACTTTATACCACTCTCATATCTGTCTGTTAGCCTGAATATAAGACTATAACCAGCAGCCACTTAGCTTAGCTTATCACAAAGACTTGAAATGGAGAAAAAGCTACACTGGCTCTCACAGTGTAACGAAATCTGCCCACAAGCACCTGTAAAGCTCACAAATTAAAACATTATATCTCTATTTAAAAAACAACTATTTGACATTTTACTGGAGGTTGTGTGTTTCTTGGCTCTGAGTAACTGTTAGGTAACCAAAAGAAAGTCCAGTAAGCGTAATTATGAAACCCACTGCTTTTCTTGCCAAGACACATAGCATTCAAGCGCTAGGATTTGCCAGGTGCCCATGCTCCTCAGGGCACGTACAGAAAGCTTATTTAAAAAAAAAAGCTTTACAAACAAATAGCGACAAAGTCTGAGTTTAGCTAGGAAGTAGTGGTGGCTGAATGGGTTAATCACAGGATCCATATCCTGGAGGCTGGGGTTTGACTTCCCTGTGAGATTCTGAGTTGTTTCCCCATTTCAAGTCTTCGTGCTAAGCTAAGCTGACTGGATGCTGGCTGTAGCCTTAAATTTAACAGACAGATATGAGAGTCATCGTCTAACTCTCAGCCAGAAAACAAATAAGCATATTTTCCAAAATATCAAGAGACAAGACCCTTCCCTAATATAAATTCAAATTTATTGCCTTTATAAACACTCTTTATTCAGTTTACATTAAGGCATTAAAAGATAAACCTCCTTTGCAATCTCACTTTTTCATTAAAAGATTCTCTGATTATCCTGCAATCAATAGTTCCTTGTCCCAGATCCTGAGCCAGCATGCTGTTTTTTTGTCCCACCAGCTAATTAACTTTATTCACCTTTCATCCCTTGGTATAAATTCATCCTTGACAAAATGGCCAGAATAAACGCTGGGACCTGAATTAGGAGCTGTTGCACTAATAGACTCTGGTACTGCTTTGACAGTGGGATAGGCAGGTCTCCGTTCCAACCAAACAGCACGGCAGGAGGTCTCGCTGATTAGCCCACCTTCAGCCGGAGAGGCGGAACTCAGCAGTCAAATCACCTGGTGTTGTGCTTGGTTGGAGAGAAAACCTGCTTCCCTCTGGCGCTCCACAGCACATGGTTGACTGTCCCTGATTTAAAAACATCAGATAATGAAAACATATAATCATCATCAACTGTGTGTCTCGTCTGCCACCAGTTATTCCCTGCTGCTCTCAACCTGTAACCCCTTCATGGTGTCATGTTTAGTATAATGTGTTGAGAATTCTCTGTTAATACTGACACTTTTTGGTCATTATGAACAGTACAGGAAACAGTTTATTTACATATTGTTTCATGCAGTAGTGTCCTTGTCTATTTATTCCATTTAATTTGATTATTCATTGAGTGTTTTGTGTAACGCCCAGGAGAGGCTAGCAGTAAACTGTGATCTTAAAACACAAATAAGCTAACAGATACAAAGGTTGAAATGCTTTACATGGTCTAAGCAATGAATGCTATAACAGGAGATTATGCATGAATGCATGCATAAAATATTCACAAATCTTCTCTCTCGCTTTATGACACACATACACATCCACACACACACACAC